TTCTTTCTCAACCTGCTCTATCCCTTGCATAACGTTATAAACCTCGATCATGTCACCCCTCAGCCATTGTTTCTCCAAGCTAAAGAACCCCAAGCGCTTTAAGCTTTCCTCATAGGGAAAGTGTTCTAACCCTTTGATCATTCTAGTTGCCCTTTTCTGCACTTTTCCCAATGCTATAATATGCTTTCTGAGGTGTGGTGACCAGAATTACACACAGTACTCCAAATGAGGCCGCACCATCGATTTATACAGGGGCATTATGATACTGGCTGTTACGGGGAAAGACACTAGAAATCTGGGAAATGTGTAGTAGCATAAACTGTAGAATCAGCCGATTGTAAACACCAAGGTCATGAACCTACAGAGAACAAAAGATTAGAGATAAGGAGCTAGCAAATGAAACAATTTTAAATTGAATCGGAAACAGAGAAGATAACGGATCAAGCCAACAATATGCAAACGACTCTTGTGAAGAAATAGCTGTTTGTGGATTGTTTTGTTTGGTGTAGTGGTTTAGTGCGCGGACTCTAATCTGGGAGAACTGGGTTTGATTCCCCATTCTTCCACTTGCAGCTGCTGGAATACCTTGGGCAAGCCATAGTTCTGAAAGAGCTCTCTCAGCCCCACCTACCTTACAGGGCATCTGTTGTGGGGAGGGGAAGGGAAAGGAGTTTGTAAGCCGCTCTGAGACTCCTTTGGGTAGTGAAGGGCAGGGTATAAATCCAATCTCCTCTTCTTCTTCTTTCACCTCACAGGGCATCTGTTGTGGGGAGGGGGAGGGAAAGGAGTTTGTAAGCCGCTCTGAGACTCCTTTGGGTAGTGAAGGGCGGGGTATAAATCCAATCTCCTTCTCCTCCTCCTCCTCCTCCCCCTCCTCCTCCTCTTCTATATACTCACAGTTTTTAAAATAATGACTTTTAATGTATATAAAGCATTTCATAATGGAAAAGAAGATATGAATTTTCTGAACAAATTAAAGCAGAGAAATACGATTATTAAAATGTGCCTGTCCCCCCCCCCTTCTTACAAAGAACACCATGGCACCAAGTTGTCTAGACTCGTCCTTTTTGTTTAAAGTCGTGTTTCCCAGCCTGTGGGTCGGGACCCAAAAGTGGATTTTGAAGCCTCTGGAAGTGGGTCGCAGGACAGCCTTCCCTAATGGCCTCCCCTCCCCATGTTTCTCTTTTGTATATCGGAAGCCACGATCTGACCCTAAAAACAGTATCCCAGGCACAGTATCGAACATGCCGTGCATTCGTTGGTGTTTTGTTTCACTGCATATCCAAGTTGATAAAATAAACTGTGTCCTGATGGTCACTAGAGAGAGTGTGAATCTTTGGAGGGGTTTGGGGGAGTCGTGAAGAAGGAGGGGGTGGTCAAAGGCGGGGGTGTAACCTCCACGCACAAAGGCTGCATCCATCAGCATGCCGTCGGCTTGGGGTTCGTAGTGGGGGCGGGCAGCTGGGTCCTTCCTGCCACGTTGGCTGGTTTCTCAAAAACATCTGGTTAGCCACTACAGAAGGTGGAACGCCTTGGGCACCAGAAAAACTTTTGAGCCGCCCCGGATGGGTCACCACATCGAGTAATTTTGGTCTCGTGCACCGCCATATCAAAAAGATTGGGGACTGCTGGTTTAAAGCTTTCTTGTCTTGTTAGAGCTTTCTTCTGTGGAAAGAGCATCTGTTTTCATAGAATCATAGAATGTTAGAGCTGGAAGGGACCTTGCAGGTCATCTAGTCCAACCCCGTGCACTCTGCAGGAGCCTAGCCGAAAGATAGCCCTACAACATCCCCGGAAGATGGTCGTCCAGCCTCCGCTTGAAAACATCCAGTGAAGGAGCATCCACCACCTCCCGAGGCAGACTGTTCCACTGCTCAACCACTCTTACAGCTAGGAAGTTTTTCCTGATATTTAGCCGGTATCAACTCCCTTGTAATTTCCTCCCATTAGATCTAGTCTTGCAATCCAGAGCAAGAGAGAATAGATCCATTCCATCTTCTACATGACAGCCCTTCAAATACTTGAAGACTGCAATCCTGTCCCCTCTAAGCCTTCTCTTTCCCAGGCTAAACATACCCAACGCTTTCAGCCTTTCCTCATAAGACTTGGATTCCAACCCTCTCACCCTCCTGGTTGCCCTCTTCTGG